GTGTGTGTGTGTGTGTGTGTGTGTGTGTGTGTGTGTGTGTGTGTGTGTAACGGGCTCTATGAAATCTGTGTACTCATTTAAGTTGGAGGAATTGAAGCCTGTGACCATGCAGAGTTGGGTCTCAACTGCAGCTCTGCTCCCTTGCTGTTTTTCTGAGCCCTGGCAGTCCCTTAACATTCCTGAAGCTTAGTTTCCCCCATAAAAGAGGGGTACCTCCTAGGCTTAAGGGGGTATAGAAGTGCTGCAAAGCCGACCCTGGCTGTCCCTTGCCACCATACCCTCATCTCCAGATGCCTGCATTCAAATTACAGATTCACCGCCACAATCAGCTCGCTCCTAAAGGACGGGCCCTGCCTGTTCCCCTCTGTAGCCCCAGGACACAGCATGGGTGTGAGTAAGAGTCTCGAGGGGCTTACAGGGTCGCATGGCAGGGGATAGTGTGAGATTTCATACCCACAGGGGAGGACACATAGGCTAGATGGGCATGTAACTGGCTCTGTGATGGAGAGAGGCTGCCTCTGGGAGGGGCCTGGGTGGCGGGTTAGATGGCAGGGAGAGGCAAGCCAGAACCAAGGATGATAAGGACCGGCCAAGGAGTGAGGGTAATACACAACAGAGACACGCAGTCTACCTAGATAAGGGTGGGAGAGAGTGGTGGGGGCAGGAGTGGGGAGCAGGGCCAGGGAAGGAGGCACAGTAGCCAATGGATGGATTGGAGGAAAGCTAGGCCTGTGTTCAGCATGGCGCCTGGGTGGTGGCAGAGTCCCTTTCTCAGGGGAGAGAAGGAAGAGAGAGGCAGCAGGATGACACCTGTTCAGGGACCCCAGTGATAAGGGGGGGGCATGGCTTGGAAAGTGCCCCACCCCAATATGGAAGAGAGGGGTGGGGCCTGACTGACTGTTGGGACAGACACAGCATTGCAGGTGACCCATTTAGGGAACTGTCAGAGGCCCTGTGTGACCTGAGTTTTGGATTGGGCTGTGGCACTAGTTGGGCAGGGTGGCCTATGGTAAGGGGACCAGCTGGGCTTCCAGGTGCCCCACAGTGTGTTTAGGGAAGGAAGGAGGAAGAAAGAGTGGCTTGCTGCCAGTGTTCCCACGGGCCTAAGGCTGGCTTTCTGCCTCTTCTCCAGCTGCCAGACCAGGTACACTGGGGTGCCACTGTGTCTTGTGCTCACTGGTCGCAGGTGGGTCACTCTCACAGGACATGCTGCTGTCGGACTGAAGAGGGCAGTGTACTGTGCTGGTCACTGGAGCTGAAATCAGCAAGGAAGACCCCAGAGAAGAGAGCTGGGCTGGAGAGTCTGGTGCCGCTGCTCTCTGCTGGTGGCCGACCCCTCTTCACTCTCCCAGTCTGGCCTTGGAGCCCTATTCCTGGGCACAAAAGGACAGAACCTTATATACAGGCTGCTACTCTCTGCCTTGTCCTCTTCTGGTCCCAGGATTGTGGCTGGGGTGCACAGGAATTTGTGTGAAGCCGGAAGTGTTTCTACTAAGGTAGTGGGGCCAAGTAAAAAGCCTGGGTGGCCTGGGTGCTTTTATTGACTGTGATATTGATAGTAACTGTAACGATTGCTTTTACACTGTGTGCGTGCTTGGAAACAGGAGTTCCCATAGCTGGCAGTTTATCAGGCTCCAGTGATACTGGGAATATATATCAATGAGATATATATTGAGAAAAATATCTCTAGCTCAGCAGGGATCTCCACAGCTCCTCTCATTTTCCTGGTGCCTAAAATGCTGATCCTTGTCCAAACTCATCCTAAGCTGACAACCTCCTAGTCTGGGAGCCATCTGGGAACCACCCAACCCCAGTTCAGGACAAGGAGGGCTCTTTTGTACCCCCTTACTGAAGTCACTGAAGATTGGGAGCCTTATGGGAGTAGAGAGATGCAGGAGTGACTCAGTGATGGGGAGATGGTCTATGTTAGGTCTATGTTAGATTGACCATTAGCAGAGGTCAGTGCTGAAGGTCTAGGTTCCAAACCCAGCCACATCCTTGTTCGCTGGTCTCTGTGTAAGCGACCATCGAGTCCCTTCTCAGATCTATCTTTTTACCCTAAAGATGAGGATAGTGGCATTCTCTCCCCTCACGGCACATGCGCAAGGGCTCCACTCATCCACGAAAAGATGAAAGCTTGGAGAAGTTTCCCTGGTGGGGTCTGGATTTATATAAAGCTCTGTGTCTCCTGCTATACTGCCTCTAGGCTCAGGACAATCTGAGGAAGCCCTGCTCTTCCTGAGGCCCCTCTGCTGGAGCAGATGTCAGGCCAGGGAATTGGATACTGGTGTCCAGGCAGGGATGGATGTGCTAGGATGCTGGCTACAGGTCCAACCTCACTCCTTCTCCAGCATGTCCAGAAGATTCTCCATGCCTGGATGCCCACAGCATAGTCAGATCACGTTCCTGGAGCCTCCCCGGTGTGAGTCTTGGAAGACCTGCATCTGAACTGGTTCCACCCAGGCACATTGGAAAGGTTCGTGGTGCCAGCCTCAGTTTAGATGGAGGTAGGGGTGAGAGGACGAGGGACAGGACTGGTCTTAGAAATACAAGCCTTGCTTAGAATCTTGGGCCCTGGAGACCTGCTGCCTGTTCTTGCCAGTCTCCCATAACATCTGCTTCCAGATGTTCCCACACACTGACCCTGAATCAGCTTTGTGTCTCAAGGGACCACCAGTCCTATACCCCCACTCCTTTCTCTCTCCAATTTTTGTCATGCACATTTAAAAACCCATCCCCTGGACATGGTATGATCTGATCAACCCACAACTTTGCTGATGATGTTCTAGAAACAGTGAGTTAGTCCCATATCTGGGACATTCATGTCCTCATGGAGGAAAGAAAATAGACTTTTGTGCTGGGTAGTTTCTTTGTCAACTTGATACAAGCTAGAGTCTCCGGGGAAAGGGAATCTCAATTGGCTACCACCTCCAGCAGATTTATGGGAAATTCTGTGGCACATTGTCATTTTTAAAAATATTTTATTTATTTTTTATTTTATGTGTGTAGTGTTTTGCCTGCATTTATGTATGTACACCATGCACCTACAATGTCTGTGGAGGCCAGAAGATCCCCTGGAATGAAGCTATAGACAGTTATGAGCTGTTATGTAGGTGCTGGGAACCGAACCCAGGTCTCTACGAGAGCAGCAAGTGCTCTTAATTTCTATGCTGTCTCTCTAGCCCCCATTTTTTTTTCTGGTTATAGATTGATGCGGGAGAACCCAGCATACCATGGACAAGGTTGCCCCTGGGAACATGTCCCTGGTTTGTATAAGAAAGCAGGCTGAGCAGACCAATAAGCAGCATTCCTCCCCAGTCTCTATTCCATTTCACGCCCTGGCTTCCTTTCATAATGGACCACAAAAGCTGTCAGATGAAATAAACCCTTTCTCCTCCCACCAAAAAAAGAAATCAAGCCTTGGGGCTGGAGAGATGACGCTGCTTTAAAAGCACTTGCTGCTCTTATAAAGGATGCAGGTTTGGTCTCAGCATCCACACCAGGTAGTTCACAACCATCTATAACCTCAGGTCCAGGGGATCTTCAGGCCTCCAAAGGCACCAGGCACACACATGGCACACACATGGCATACACACACACACACACCCACACACACACACCAAATAAATCTTCAAAAATGAAATAAATAAAAACTTATTTCTGTGACTTTAGGATTACCAATAGAAATGAAATACCTTCATAGTGCCCAGGCTTCCGTGGGGTCACATCAATATGCCTGCTCCTTCTCATGCATGTTCAGGGCACCCACCACAGACAACAGTGACAACCATATTTATAAGTATATTTTTATTGACAATAAAAAAATCTCAATGATTCCTTCCTTGCAAGGAAGGGGCTACTGAGTCTTGATGTGAGCGTCTGCCCACCAAGACAGAACACCAGCGGCACAGTCACCTCCCATACACACGCATTGCTAAGAAGGCAAAGTTCAGAGTTCAGAGTTCAAGGTATTTACATTCATGCAATGCAGATCTCACACTACCTAGGCTGTTTAGGTCATATTTGTACAGATTGGAGTACAGTATTTATATATATATATATTTGTATAGATAGATATCTCTTTAAATATATATATAACTATATATAATATTCCTATTTTTTACATCTACTATTCTTCCATCCACACGTCCTCTAGAAGGCTTGTAGAAACACCTGGTAACTGGGAGAACCTAAATGCCGCTGAGTTCTGACACGACTTGACCACAGTGGAAAGCATCTGGGGAAACAGCTGGGCATGGACACGTCACCTGACTTCTGCATTCAGGCTGCTTGACGGACAGGGTCTTAGTGGCGTTGCTGTAGGGCCCTGTGAAATGATGCTCTAAGCCCACGCTCTCGGTCGACAGGATCACGTTTCAGCTGCGTGGGTTAAAAACCTGGTGGCTTCTCTTGTGATGAGAGATGCACCCTCTAAACGGCCTGTCCTGGGCTCGGGGATGCTGTTCTCTAGGGACACCCTTGTAAAACCTAGGCCCTTCCTTTGCCTTCCCCTAACTGTGAAGTGAGGTTATACAAGCCCACTCGAGAGAGTTTACATGCACACTAGCCAAGAACAGTGAAAACTCAGCCTTGGTCCCTGCTGGCTAATAGTACACACACTGTGGGCTTGCTAGGTTTCAGCCAAGGTCAGGATGTGGGTGCATGGAAATCTCAGGGTCTGCTCAGTCCTTCATGTCCCCTGGCAGAGAGCTCCCCTCCAGCCACAGGTGTCCCGAGTGGGTGTGTTATGCTCTCTCCCGTGAGGCTCCAGAGTGTGTGTGTTTACAAATAGAACAGTCCTCCTGTCTGTCCAGTGTCGGCTGCAGGCACGGGTGCCAGGAGACTGTGGCCCAATTCTCAGTTTAGATCAAGGTGACGGTGTGTGTGGGTGCGAGAGAGAGAGAGAGAGAGAGAGAGAGAGAGAGAGAGAGAGAGAGAGAGA